AGATTTCAAAGCTCTTGTTGACGGAAGCCCAGAGAAGGCAAATAACTTGTCCAAGATCACTCAGCTCCTGGGCCACCATGAGGGAAGAAGCTGGAAAGAGAACCTAGACCCTCTGATCCCACTTTAAAGTTCCTTCAAGCCTAAAGATTTTGTGATTTCTCGATGCCAGTCCAGCCAGCTTTTTCTCTGTCCTAGAGCTGCTTTCATTGTAAAACCTTTGCCCTAAGATCCCCAGGGTACCTTGTCTGGCCATAACAGCTCGTGTTCTTGGTTCCTTGTGGGGATAAGATTCTTCTCTAAGGCATTTGGATATCTATTCAGCAGCTTCATTCCCCTCTTTTTGGCCAAATCCCCTAAGCTTCCCTAAGTCATCACCCTCACACTTCCCTTCTCTTAGGCCCTATGATTGAAACCAGCACACTTACCCTTTCTTTTCTCCCAGCTAGTGCCTTCTCTATCCAATATCTCTGGTGGAGGGACATGTCCTGCCTTCGACTGGGGTCCAGAATCACAGGATGTGAAGATGGAAGAATGTTAGGACCAGAGCTGTCTCTTCCAGGCCCCGGGGGGCTGTCCTTTCTCTCTCTTGCTTGAGGATTGGAGTGAGTATCAGGGCTCTTGCTCATTTATTGAGCACCAAAGATACATGTTTTCCGTGAGCACCAAGTATGTAGCAGGCACTGTGTAAGAGTTTACTCTCCCTTATGTAATCCTTACAAAACAGTCCAGCAAGGTAAGAATTATGCTCATTTAACAGTTTAGGAAGTTTGCCCTAAGTCATACTAATGAGTCTAGGATTAGGAATGAGACCCACATCTAACTAAAAGCCCAAATCCCAGGCATAAGATGGTGGGGAGAGGGAAAGATGGTGGGAAGGAAGAAAATACGTATGAGCACCATCTTCCTTGGCCTCCCTGGCCGCAGGACCCAGGGGTGAGAATCACTGTAAATGATCCCATATCTTTAAATCAAACTTCAGAGAGGAGAGGTCACTGGGCAAGTGGAACAGGAGGGTTAGCTCGCTGACAGCCCTTGATGCACAACCTGCCAGCTCTCAGCCTGTGCATCTGTGATCAGCTGGCTGTGATCTGGAAACTACCTGCCACACAGGTGGCCTGCCTCTCCTCCCTGGATTGAGGAAGCAGGAACAGGTGGCAGTGACAGGCAGTGGGCAAGTGTGCTGGGCAGCAGTGGCTGGAGCCCCAGCTAGGATGGGCTCTCTCTGGGGCCTGACTCTGACCCTTTACTTCTGCTACTGGCAGGCTGCAGCCCCCGGGAGCTCTGCAGGTAAGCGGGCAAGAGGGCTCTGCGGGCTTCTGTCTTGGCAGGGCTCTGGTTGTGAGTTTGTGTCCTGGCAGCCCTTTGTGGATGAGTGTAGCTCTCTTGGGCTAATTATAATTAACCATAAAGCTGTATGCGAAGTATTTCTATTATTGATAAAGAGTATGAAAATGGCAGTGTGTCCTCTTAAGCATGTGTGCCGCTGTGGAACATAAAAATGAGCAATGTCATTGAGAGGTCGCTGTCCTTTTCTTTATGACTGAGGGAGTGCGAGCAAGTGGGGTGCAGTGAGGTGCAGGCTGGTGATAAATCTGACTAAAGCCAAAGAATGTGGCTTGGCAAGATTCTAACTCCTCCAAGTTTATCCTTTAAAATGCAGTTTTTGTGTGAAAAGTCTGACTGTCACAGACTGCCTGGGAGGGTGGATTCTGAGAAGCAGGGCTTTTATGAAAGAAGAAAACTGACATTAATCTATAATAGGAATTGTGCCAAGCTTGTCACATGCATTATTATTTTTTTTTTAATGGACTTTATTTTTAGCAGCAGTTTTAGGCTCATGGAAAAATTAAGTGGAAGGTACAGAGATTCCCACGTACCCCTGCCCTCCCCTCCACACACAACCTCCCCCGCTATCAACATCTTGCACTTGAATGGTACATGTGTACGATCAATGAACCATCATTATCGTGCGTTACCTTTTTATTCTTTTTTAAAGACTTTATTTTTTAAGAGCAGTTTTAGTTCACAGTAAAATTGAGAGGAAGGTACAGAGATATCCCATATACTCCTGTAGACTCTTTCGAATCCTCACAATAACTCTATGAGAGAGGTAAAATTCTTACTCTCTCCCCGCCTCAACGGTGAAGAGATGGAAGTTTACCAGGATTAGGTAATGGATCTGCAGAGGCAGGATTTGACGCCACACAGGCCTAACCACAGGAAATACCACCCGCTGTGTGCACTCTGATCTACCAGGTTTGTGCTGCACACTTTACATTTAATTTAATTTAATCTTCACAATGAAATAGGGACCTCTAGTTCCATCATACAGATGAAAAGTGCAGGCGTGGAGCTGGAAGACTTGGCCAGGGTCACACGGTTGGTAAGCGGCAGAGCAAGCAGCGGAGAGGGGACTCAGACTCAGGGTCTGAAGTCTACACGATTTCCTCTCCCCCAGTTTGATTTGAGGAATAAAGCAAGAAAGCTGCAACATTCTGGAGCTATAGAGACCAGGCTGTGGGCTTTGAGAAGACCCCTGTTTTGAGGTCTTCTGTTTGAGAAGACCCCTGGCGGGTAAGAGATATGAGTGGGGGGTTATGAGAGCCCTGGAGATGAAGAGGCTATGAGTTTGGGAAGTATGAAAAGGTTTCACAGCAGGATGACACCATAGGGCTCCTGGAAAAGGATGAAAATGTGTCAGGGGAGGTCAGTGGTCAGATCCCAGGAACTCAAACCACTGTTTGGGCTTCGGTCTCTGTGGGCTGACCCAGACAGGCTCTGCTTCCACCATGTGAGGACCAAGGAAGCTCAGAGAAATATCTCAGACTTTGAAGTGGGGGGAAGAAAGTATATTCCTGTAAAAGTGTGATTGGTGTGTGTAGTTAGACTACATTGAACGAGTAATGAGAGCCAATGCCATGACCTACTCAATATGCATGTGGGTACAGCCTCAAATTCTCACTGTATTAAAATAGGTTGCGTGCTCTCAAGTAACTCCTTGAAAGGACATGGTCAGGGAGGGATGCTTAATAACCTTTGCAGGCTTTCCCGTTCTTCTTCTCTTCTGGTCCTTACCCCATAGTAAGTCAGAGATTGGGACCCCTTTTCACAGGGAAGGAAATGGAGGCTTAAAGAGGTCTATTGACTGGCCTCGCTGGTAGCAGGCAGAGTCAGGATTTGAACCAGTAAATCATCAGACTCTAGAGCTAGTAATAGACCTGGGGATGAAACCCAGTCTCTAGCTTCCTGGCCCTTTTATCAAATTCAGTGGGAGACACAGGAGGACAAGCTGGAGACTGGAGCCCCGTCCTGATGCCCTGGGTAGAGGCGGCCACATGGTTCAGGATCTCCTTTGGGTCCTTGGCTACTTTTGGGCCAGTAGCTCTCAGTAAAGACCATCTCAAACCGTCAGAACCCAAAAATATGGGGCTTATATTTTTATCGTTTTCCTTTAAGAGTAGAGTTACTAGATAAAATGCAGAGTATCTACTTACATTTAAATTTCTGGTAATAAATTTTTTTTTTAGTATAAGTATATTTCAAATACTTCATGAGAAAATGCACCTACTAAAAAAATCATTTGTTGTTACAATTATTTCTTGTTTTTCTGATTCAAATTTAACTGGGCACCCTGTATTTTTATTTGCTAAATCTGGCAACCTTCCCCAGGAGGCTCTTTAGCCCACTTACAGAGAGAGCCCCTCCTGGGTGGAGAGGAAAGGCACCCTTGTCAGTGTCTAAAAGATCCTGCTGTAGACTCCACCAGGGTTTAAGAACCCCTGCTGGTCCTCCACACACACACAACCTCAAAGCGCAGGTCAAGTGAACAGAAATGTTCTGCCCTATGGAGAAATACTAGCAGCATCTCTCTAAAAAGTGGTGTTTTGCCTCTCACCTGGCTCCCTGTTACCCATGGAAAATGCCTGGTACATTGTTTCTGGAGTTCTGGGGTTCCATCCCTGTCTTCTCAGGCCAGTGTTCAGGAGAGACTTGAGCAGAGATGGGACGCTCTCCCCTCTTCTCCTGCTAGAGCCCCCCAAATTTTGCTTGCTCCTTCCCCCTTTGCAGCAGTCACCATCCCTACTGTCCCTGGAGGTTCCTCTCCCCTAATCCTCCCAGCTACCTCTAAACACAAAAGCACAGATATTTCTTGTGTTTAAAGTATTTTTAATTCCATGGAGAAACATTTGCTGGATGAGAAAAGTATCGATGGGGAAGTGACAAGGATTCTTTCAAAAAGTTCTGAGAATCGTGGTCCCTGCTCTGCAGTTCTTGGTTTACATGGACTTTTGCCTTCATTGCTCCTCCTTGAGGCTGGATCCTGACCCCACACATTCCCTCTGATGCCTTTGGACCAATAATCCACTGGATTCTGGGGCTTTCTTGCTTCCAGTGGGCTGTTAGAAGACATCAGTCAGGGCAATACCAGTTTCGTGGTTGTCGCGTGGGAATCGTCTTCCTGATACTACTTCCTTCTTCCTTGTAAATATAGATGAAAAATGGAGTAAAGGCAACTCCCCCCACCCCCCGCACCCCTCTCACCTTTCAGCAGTCCCCAGGGCATAAACACATGAGTCATGGACTCATGGCTCACAAACTTGTCTTACCCAACACAGGCCCCACCACCCCTGGACGAGGCCCTTTGGTGACAGTGAGCCACACAGAAGTGCCTACTGTGACTCTGAGGGTCGACATAAGCTCAGAGGGAACCTCCCAGATCCCTGACCTTGCTGAGACCTCTGTGCCAAGCCATATCCCTTTGGAAACTCAAACCGTGGGCACCCAAACCTCTGATAGGACCTTAATCCCAGCCAGCACCATCTCAGAAGCAGTGACCAGGGAAACCAAAACCATATTTCCTGCAACAGAGACCAGGGCTCTCACAAAAATAACACCTTCCAAGTTCATGGTTGTGATCACCTCTTTTATGGAGACATCACCCCCGCACCCCTCTCACCTTTCAGCAGTCCCCAGGGCATAAACACATGAGTCATGGACTCATGGCTCACAAACTTGTCTTACCCAACACAGGCCCCACCACCCCTGGACGAGGCCCTTTGGTGACAGTGAGCCACACAGAAGTGCCTACTGTGACTCTGAGGGTCGACATAAGCTCAGAGGGAACCTCCCAGATCCCTGACCTTGCTGAGACCTCTGTGCCAAGCCATATCCCTTTGGAAACTCAAACCGTGGGCACCCAAACCTCTGATAGGACCTTAATCCCAGCCAGCACCATCTCAGAAGCAGTGACCAGGGAAACCAAAACCATATTTCCTGCAACAGAGACCAGGGCTCTCACAAAAATAACACCTTCCAAGTTCATGGTTGTGATCACCTCTTTTATGGAGACATCAGCCACAAGTGACAGCCCCTCAGGAACTGGAATGACCACAGTTGAAACTATTATACGTAGTGATCTCTCAGAAGCCTTCTTTGACACCCTTTGTACTGACGACGGCTCTGAAAAGACAAAGAGGATCACAATAGACACCTTGACACTGGCTCACACCTCTGCAGAAGCCAGGGCCCTGGCCTTGGAGAGTAACTCAGTTCCAGCCATCATCATTTCACAAACCCTGTCACCTGACATCACTTCTCCATCTAAAGTCTTGGTTGCCAACGCCGACACCGACATTGAGGTTATCAGATGTGGTGTTACAGAAATTGAAACAATTGCCATCAACCCTAGGGCCTCAGACATAGATCACAGCCCCATTGGAGGAAAGACTTTGTCCACCCCTGATATGTCAGCTTTGCCTGACTTCACTGAAGCAAAATCATACCTCACTGGGACCACAACCTCTTCTGAGACCTTGTCAACAGCCGGCACCACAGAATTAGCCACACCTGATACCACAGTTGAGACCTTACTCTCCACCAACAGCACCACAGAAAGAGAAACATCAGCAGCCAAGGCCACCGCCTCCAGTGGAACTTTGGTGACAATCAACATGAACCCTTTGGAAGAAACTTCAGCCCTCTCTGTTGAGATAACAAGGCACACCGAAGTCTCAGAAGCAGTTACAATCTCCATAGAGGCTGGGTCAACAGTGGGCCAAGCAACTTCCCCTGCTGGTTCCTCAGCTACAGTCTATAGCCTCTCTGAAGTAGCCAACACCAAGAACTCCACCTCCTTAGAGATTTCTACCACAAACAGCACAACCAGTGGGACTGTCCTCACTAGCAGGAGCGCTCTTTCATCTATCCATCTGACCGTGGCCAACAACAGCCAAGAAACAGAGGTCATCTTAGCCAAGATGACAGCCTCAGCAAAGACCCCAAAGACAGCCAGCACAGCTGGAGGAAAGCCCCCAACAACCATACTTACCACTGCTGGGACAACGTGGGCCGCAGAAACTACTGCAGGTAAGTGGCTTCCCCATATGTGATCTTTGGGAATTTGGAGTTTAGAGTCTCCAAAATGTCTACATGGTTAAGGTATGCAGACAAAGGAAGGATCTGGGAACCTATTTTGAGGCTGATGTTGCCTCTTTATGATCTTCTGGTGGCTCTTGCTAAAATCACTAATAAGCAGAGTTACGGTGGTGTATGGAAAGAGCAAGGAGTTAGAAGTCTGGAAAAATGGTTTGAGATCTTGGCTCTGCCCTTAACAACCTGAGTGACCTCGGACAGTTTCCTCTCCCTCTCTGGGCCTCAGTTTCCCTGCCAGGAGCTGGAGGGGGTTGCAATGAATGAACAATGAAGTCCTTTTCAACTCTGCCTTTCTATGAAGTTAACTGTTAAGTAACTACTGTGCACCAGGTGAGGCCACAAATTTTATTTAAAAGACACAGCCCTCATGCTCTGGAAGCCTTGGGTTCAGCCAGGGCCACACAGATGAACACCATGTGGGCATCTGTCCCAAGTTGCTGCCCTCTGAGCAGCTGGGATCTCGTGAAAGTGTGGGGCTCGCTGAATGCACTTGCTGGGGCTGGTGCCATAGATGGTGACTTAAAATAAATAAAGAAATTGGAAGAAAGTTTGGAAGTTTAAAGTGACATCTCTGAGACAGCAGATACTTCTCAGGGAAGAAGTCCCTTGTCAGAGGCTGCTTGGTCAGCCCAGGTCCTGGTCAGCTTATGCCTTCTACCTCCATTTCCCATCCCTCTGTCCTTGTGCCTCATCTCTGAGGTATCCTCATCTTGCCCTGCCTTCCTGGGGAGGTGAAATCAAAATATTAATCATGACAACTTTATTGAATTTCTTTTATATCCCAGGCAGAGGTGATATAAAAGTATTTCACAACCAGTAAACATTGATACCAGCTGAATGTTCTCTCTGATGCCAGGCAGTGTACTATGAGCTTTGCATACGTTATCTCCTCTAATTAAACCTTCCAAACCACCTCATGAGGTAGCTATTATTGCCCCATCTGACAGATGAGGAAAAAACATTTAAAGGTGGCAAAAAGAGAGCAGTGAGATTCCAAATGAAACTATCTAATGCCAAAACTCATAATCTCCTATTGTGCTTTTATTCTTAAAAGCTCAATTTATTACTGTATTTCTTTTTTAAAATGCTTTCTTTATTACTTGTTGGTTAGATGATACATTCACATAATTTAAAATTCAGTAGATACAAAAGGGTACACCATAAACTGTCTCTCTCCCATGCTGTCCCCCAGCTACCCAGTTTTCCTTACACACATAACTGATGGTATCACTTCCTTGTGAATCCTCTTATGGACATGAAATATATATTTGGAAGCAAAAAAAAAAAAAAGGATGAACAATATCTATCTATCTATCTATCTATCTATCTATCTATCTATCTATCTATCTATCGACATAAACCAATAAAGATGTAGATAGATATCTTACATCTTTCTTTTGATGCAAAGGAAGTATATGATAAAAACGGATCTCTGAGATAAAACTTTTTTTTATGGCTGCTCAATATTCCATTTTGTTTTACCATAATTTATTCAACCAGTCCTCTGTGGAAGGACTGTTAGGTTGTTTCCAGTATTTTGTGATGACAAATGATGCTGCAGTAAATAGTACATTTTTTACACGTGTGTTATTTTCTGTAGAATAATTTTATAGAAGTGCAATTACTGGATCAATTCTAATAGTATTCTGATAGAAAGAAATGATAGAAAGAAAAGATGGCAGGTAGAGGCAAGCAGATTAGGCCTCAACAAAAGACAGAACTTGCCTACAGAGTTGCTAAATCGGAAAGGCCGGATTAAAAGGCCTTCACCAATTTAGAGCGAGAAGAACAGGCGGAGGTCATCCTCTTAGAGAGCTAGCCTCTCTCCAGCATTCTTCCCAGCTGGAATCTTTCCTAACAGCTTAGTCAAGGACCTCCAAGCCTTGAGAATATTCTAGATTCACTTTTATTTCTCCTTCCTGACACTACTCTTCTAACTTCTCCAAATGTGGATGGGGCCTTCAGCTATCATTTCCTTCACTCTTGTTGGGAAGACACTCTAATGGGCCCAGTTATCAGAGAAAGAGAATCCTTTTTCTCTTTGCAGTGAGTAAATGTAAGATCCTATGAGAATACAGACATGTTTATACGTAAAAGTAAGCACTTATATGTGGAGGAGTGACAGAGGCTGGGTAGCACAGTTCACGTCTTGATTCCTCAAATGATTTTCTCATATTTTCATCTTCCTTCTATTCTCAACTTGCAGGTGGGGATGGAGGCTTCCTCCTCCTGCGGCTGAGTGTGGCCTCCCCAGAAGACCTCACTGACCCCAGAGTGGCAGAGAAGCTGATGCGCCACGTGAGTGGGTACTCTCTGGGCCAGAGCAGAAAAGGAGAGTAAAATGTTCTTGGGAACTCCAGGAAGATCTGCAGGATACAGAACAACTGTTACATTGAGAGGAGAGTAGTTTTCGTATGGAGTATTAGGAGCTAAATCTAAAGATCCCCGCCTGGCTTTGCTTCTGCCCGTTTTTCCTGAGTTCTGAATTCTCCTTCTCTGCTATGTAAAAATTCTTTCTTTCATCCCCAATTTCCTTGGAAGGTCACGTCTTCTGGCTCTGGGAGAAGGTCAATGATATTAGTGGGCAGATAGGCAGGACTTTTGGTTGCAAGTGGCAGAAACCCAATTCACCATAGCTTATATAGAAAACCAAGGTATTGGCTGAGAAACCTAGAAGTGGCTGGATCCAGCAGCTCAAACATGATCATCAGGGTTTTCTCTTTCTGTTTTTCTCTCAGCTCTACTCCTTTCATTCTTCAGAGTCTCTTTAGATGTAAGGAAAGATGGTTGTGGCAGCCCTAGATTCACAAAGCACTTCCGTCTTCTGCAATCTTCATGTCATACTAGGGAAGAACTGATCTTATTGGCCTACCAGGGCCGCCATGACTGACACCTCAATCTGAACCACATGGAATGGGAAGGTTAAGCCCCAAAAGCCATAGGGATGCTAAGCAAAAAACGAAAACAAAAATAAATAAATAAATAAAGGTATGCTCTATATGGGGACCAAGATTCAAATATATTTGTACGAATTGGGAAAATTTTTCCAAAACCCAGATCACTGGAAAAAGCTTCTAGTGGTAGAATTCTGGGGTCAGAGCTTTTGGGGATGGTGTGAATCACTGGCAGGTTAGAATGGGTCAGTTCAGCCTAGTTCTTGTACCCACTTCTTGCTGCCAAGGGATAGGAAGAGGGAATATTTGGGCCCTTGAAGTTCTCTCAGGGGGAGGGGGACCCATCATGACTCCCACAATAAGGAGTTTCCTGAATGTGGCATGGGGATTTTGAAGCAGGACAGCCAAATAAATGACAAATGCCCCTGCATGTGATACTCAAAGAAGCAAGTATGAGTCCTAGTTGAAGAGGGAAGCCAGGGTCGAATCAGTTCTGAGTCCTCGACACTGGAAAGTATGTCAGGTATCAGAAAGAAGCCAGGGAGAAAGGAGCAGGCCGGGTGCTGAGGTACAGGAATCAGGCTGTGCGGGTGTTGGATATCAGTTTTTGTTGGGGGCTGACCACCAGCATAGGGCTCAGGGCTCAAAAAAACAACAAACTTTGGAGCCAGACAGATCTGGGTATGAATTCCGGTTACTATATATGTGACCTGTGGTAAGTTACTCCATATTACTTTCCTTTCTTATAAAACGAGGCTAATACTACTTTTTTTTTTTTTACAAGGTTACTGTGAGGATTAAAAGACTTAATGTGCATAAAGTATCTCGCCCATGTCCAGCCCACAGGAGGCTCAGGAAGTCTTGCTGGCCTCCTCATATATTCTCTCCCACTGTCCCTTCCTGTCCTTGGTCTGTGGTGAACTCATGGACCAGATGGGCTGGAAATACTCACTTGTTCCTTTTGCCTTCCAGCTACGCCATGAGCTGCACTCCCTCGTGCCTCTCGTCCAAGTCTCCCTGCTGCGTGTCAAGAGGGATTAAAGAACATCAGCTGCAGGCAGGACCATGTGCCGAAGGGGGGCAGTGCCCCTACAGTCTGGAACCCACCACAGACTGGAGGCACGTTACTACACCAAGATGCGCCTAGAAGTTTCCCACAGAGGTCAGCTGGCTTGATCCCTTATCCCAGACATGGCAGTGAGACCCTGGCTCACACATGCCTGAGTGTATGCATGTGTGGGAAGGAGGGCTTCTGTTCCAGAGATGTTCTTAGACCTCCCTTGGCACATGTGTTGTGTTTCCGTAAAGAATCACCCACTCACCCATCTGTCATCCACTGTGTGCTTCCATACTACATTAAAAACACACTCAGTGTGGCCCAGAGGTTATCTATTTGACTTGTGTGTTTCTGACATTTTTATGATACAGAGATTTTGTGCATCATTGCTGCCACCTTCCTCCTTCATGCTTCCTTGGTTCTCGGTTTGGACCTTGATAACAGCACTCACTGAGGGTGGCACTGGAGCCTGTTCAACCATGAACTCCTTCAGAGCACAGACCATATTTGTTTATCTCTGTATCCCTTGAACTGAGTAGAGCGCCTGGCCTATAGTAGGATCACAGAGAATGTTTGCTGAATTGACTTGAATTTCAAGTTCCAGACACAAGCGGATTTGAAAGAAAGTCTGCAATACTCAATTATTTCTTCCCCATAGCTCATAAATCACATTATTATTATTTTTAAATTCGATGTAGTTTTTTTAATTGTAAAACTTCCTTATGAATTTAAAAAATTGAAAAACTCAAAAAGACCAAGGAAAAAAGAAGAAATAGAAAGAGGAGGGGAAGAGAAATAAAAAAATTTTTGTAAAAGCTCACCTTTTCTGTACAACTGTCATTAATGTATATACTCAATGTCCCCGCTTGGTCTGAGATACTTTGCATTCAACATTTCTAAAATCAAAGTCCTAATCTTTTCTCCTAAAGCCGCTATGTATGCCTGCATCTTCCTTATCTCAGTTAATATCAATTGAATCTTTCAGTTAGTCGAGCCAAAATGCTAGGAACTATTCTTTATTCCTCTATTTCTTTCGCATTTGGCAATTCGATTCAACAGGAAATTCTGTTGGCTTTACTGTCATCAAAATATGCCCAGAATCTGACCCCTCCTCACCATCTCAATTGTTCTCACTCTGGTCCAAGGTGCCATCATCTCTCACCTGGATTACTAATACCTTCCAACAGGTCTGTCTCCCTGTTTCTTCCTTTGTCTCTCACCCCCAGTCTAGTCCCAGTACATCAGTCAGGGCTGTCTTTTCATAATGTAAGGCAGATCATTCTACTCCTTTGCTCCAAACTCTCCTATTCCATTCAGAGAAAAAGCAAAGTTTTTAAAATAACCTGCAAAGCTATACATGACCTGCACCCCTCTGCTAGCCTCCTTAATGTCACTGCACTGCAGCCACACTGACTTCTTGGCTGTTCTGTGACTGCATCAGGCCTCGAATACATGCTCTTGCCTTGGGACTTTTGCATGTGTTGCTCAGTCTGCTTAGATTGCTTCTCCTCCAGATACCCACTTGGCTAATTCCTCCACCTCCTTATCTTCTCAGTGGGTCTAACTAACCACCCTCCTCTGCTTCAGTTTTCTTCATAACACTGATCACAACCTAATATAATATACATTTTATTTGTCTTGCTATTATCTGTGTTCCTCAACTAGAATGAAAAAGTTTGTTCTCTGAAGTATCCCCAGTGTCTAGGACAGTGCCTGGCACATAAAATATTTGTTAAATGAATGAAGGAAACAACAAAATAATTTGGATATTGCCTTGAATAAAGGGAGTATGTGAATTCAATTGACCCCTCCTCTTGCAGAGTGGGGCAGAATGAGTTTTATAAAGAGATTAGACAAAAACAATTTAAACTTTCATTCCAGCATATTTATTGAGTGCCTATGATAGAAGAGAGCCTACATTATGTTGTGGGGGACTCAAAGATGTTTCTTCCCACAGGGATTAAAGTTAGCAGGGGAAGTTAGACACATACAGAAATAACAAACCAAAAGAACTCACTTATACCGTATATGACAAAACCAGAATGTCCTTAATATACGAAGAGCTTTTACAAAGCAATAAAAAGGCAAATATGCTAGTAGAAAGGTGAACAAATGGCAAGGACAGGCAATTCACAAAAGAACGAATATCAGTGTCTCTTTTCCATGGGGAAAAAAAAAAAACAACCTTTAATTACATTAGCAAAAAAGGTAAATTAATACAGTGTGATATTGCTTATTGTGTGTCAATAGGTAAAGATTTATAAAAATTATAACATTCATATTAATGAGAATATGAAAAAAAGGGCACTCAGACACTGCCAGTGTGAGTAAAATTTGTACAACTTTTCTGGAGGACTATTTGACTATCTAAAGCCTTAAACATATACATTCCTTTAACCCATCAATTTTATTCCTACGAGTTTATCTTAAGAAAATAATTAGGAATCTGTGCAAAGATCGATAAATAAGTATATTCAAAGATCAATAAATAAATATATGTATGGTGTCAGATGGGTACTAGACTTAATGGGGTGATCATTTCGTAAGGCATATAAATGTCTAATCACTATTAATATACTCGAAACTAATATAATATGGTATGTTAACTGCAATTAGAAAATAAATTAATTTTTAAAAATGTTCATTACAGAACTATTTAAATAGCCAATAAAAGAAAAAGACAAAATAAAACACAAATGAGATATCTCAGTGTAGCCATTTGTGTAATAATAGTGTTATCATATATAATCTATATACATGTTAATGAGATGTATATCTATTAACGTGGAAAGAAGTTCATGAAATATTATTCTGTTCTCTTTTATTTTCTTAAGATGGAACCATCTTTTTTTTTTTTTTTTTAAACTCCAAGATATCCTTCACACTATATTCTGAGCTTCCTCTCTAAAGTCAAAGCTAGTCTTGTTCCTACCTGCAGGATTATACCTGCAACTTTGAATACAAGGGTCTTTGTGACATACAGCCTTGGCCAACTTTCTCAGCTCCATGTCCTAAGGCCCCATCTCCTGTATCCTCTGTTCCTTACACAGGAAACTTCTCACTACTTGCCAGTCACACCTGCTTTGATCCAGAGTGTTTGCACATCATGATTCCTGTCCCTGGAATGTCACCCCCACTCCTAGTCCCTTCATTTGGAAAACTCCTATTTATGCTTAAAAGCTCAGTTCATTTAGCATCTCCTCATGATGGCTTTGCTCAAATTCCCTAAGGAAGAGTTAGTTTCTTAGTCTCCTTATATTTCTGTTATAGCACTTAACATGCTATATCATGATTACAAGTTTGTTAAATCATACGTGCTTCAGGACAAACACCATATAGTATTCATCTCTGGAGCCGCAAGACCTAGTACAGAACCCTGCACATAGAGGGCCACTCAAATGTTTGCTAAATGACTGAGATGTTGAGCCATGTGAGCAGAAAATCATTAATATGGGCATTGGGCTCTGAAAGTTAAAAAAAACGCATTCAACGTTGAAGTCAAACAAAGCAAATTTAATGATATAATTATTATTAAGCTACACTATAATTAGGCACGAACAGAGAGCAGTTTGCATAAGTCACTACAACATCGCTGTTATATAAATCCAATTCTTAAAAAGTTTTTCTTTTGTTGCTTTGTGCTTATTCAAATCAGTGATACCTAATAAAGTGGGTGATTTAATCTTAATTGCATACATATAAAGACACATGTACATACAATGCTGATTACTGTTATTATTGAAAGCCAAAAGAATTATAAAATATGGGGGACACCAATTAGAAGCATTTGGGAGTTAAAATTATGTGTGTGTGCTTATGTGTGTGTTTGTGTATGTGTTCATGTATGTGTTTGGGTATGTGTGTGTGTTTTGAGGTGTGTGTGTGTGTGTGTGTGTGTGTATGTGTTTATGTATGTGTGTGTGTGTGTGTGTGTGTTTTGAGGTGTGTGTGTGTGTGTGTGTGTGTGTGAGAGAGAGAGAGAGAGAGAGAGAGACAGGGAGAGAGAGAGAGAAAGCGTTAGTTACTGGAGATGACCAAAGTTAGTGGAAGAAATGCTACAAAACCAACAAGAACCGGAAGTGCCTGGAGAAAATTCTCCAGTTATTTAAGATTCAAAGTGTGTGCATATCAGGTGAAAATGTCGTAGTGACTTATGCAAACTGCTCTCTGTTCGTGCCTAATTATAGTGCAGCTTAATAATAATTATATCATTAAATTTGCTTTGTTTGACTTCAACGTTGAATGCCATTTTTTTAACTTTCAGAGCCCAATGCCCATGGCCCAACATCTCAGTCATTTAGCAAACATTTGAGTGGCCCTCTATGTGCAGGGTTCTGTGCTAGGTCTTGCGGCTCCAGAGATGTCACGAGACATCTTCATACTAAAAAATTATTCATGGTTTATCTGAAATTCAAATTTAACTGGGCTTCCTGTATTTTATTTGCTAAATCTGACAACCCTAATTTCTTCCTTCCTTCCTTCCTTCCTTCCTTCC